ATATGATCATGGAAGTTGGAACAATACCAAACTTCCAAATTTTCAAAACCATTTAGTATCGAAGTTTAGAAAAAAAAAAAAGTGCTTTTGATCGAATCTAGACCTCTCAGTTTTTTTATCCCTTAACCGAGAAAAAATTGAAAATTTTTAATCTTTCTGATTACTAATCGAACAAATAAGCAAACATATATAGAAACATGCAAAAAAAAAAAAAAAAAAGACGAAATTTAAACGTAATATATTGAATAAAATAGTAAATAAAGGGAAATGAAAATAAAAGAGGAAAAAATAAAAAATAAACGTACCAGGAAGTGATATGGGGTTTGGGAGAGAAAAAGATAAGAGCAGCGCACTTGTTTTGAGATCGGATCTGGTAATCTCTGATTTGCTCTACGAGTTTAGACCGAGTTATCATTTCTAGAAACCGGAGATCTTTCTTCTCCGATCTTTGTAACCAAACACTCTCAGCTTCTCTCCTAATAAAATTTAGGATAGTAAAAGCTCGAACCAAACACCTTTTTTTTTTTTTTTTCCTGTTTTATAGCTGGAACTGGAATTAGAAAGTATCTTTGTGATCGATTTTGTATGATAAATTGAACCAAACGGAGGGGAGAGGGAGGGAAGAAGCCGAGCCAGCAGAGAAGATTTTGGTTCGCTTCTCTACAGTGATTTTTCGCTGAAGTTGGTGCCGAGGGTAACTGCAATTTTCTGATTCGGGTATAGAAAGTTCCGCAACCCGGCTTGGATGGATAGTCCATTTTGTCCCTTTAATAAAACATTTTTGTTTTTTTTAACGATTCGGTAGTCAGGATAACTTAACCTTAATCCTTATTGGATTATTAAAGAGGTGCTAAATTTATCCCAATCTTTTCTTCTCATATATATATTTTTTAATTTTTTAAGTAAAATTATTTAATTATTTTTTTATATAAAATTTTTGAAAATAAATTTATAAAATATCATAAATTTTTTAAAAATAAAATTTTAAAAAATTATATAATTTTTTTAAAATAAATTTCGAAATATTATTGACTTTTTAAAAATCTATTTTCGATAAGTGAGATAATAAAAATTTAAAAAGTATTTTAAATAAAAATTTTACTATTTCACTTTTTGTAAATGAATTTTTGAAAAGTCATAAGTTTTTAAAAATTTATTTTCGAAAAGATTTATCATTTTTCATAAATTTATTTTTGAAAATTATATAATTTATCAAAAATTTATTTTCAAAAAAATATAAAACTCCATAAAATTGTAAGGAGAGTAATTAAATAATTTTATTTATAAAAAATTTAGAAAATAAAAAATTAAGTTGTGAAGAAAAAAAATAGAGGTATATTTAGCACTTTTCTTATTTTAATAGCATTTCTTCGAATTCATTCAACTGTTTCGACTCAATTTATTTAAAATTTTATTATTAAAATATTTTTTACAAAAATTTAATCCTAATGAAACATTTTGTTCTTATTATTTATAAAATATTATTTTAAAAAATATCAAATATATTAATAATAAAATTTTTAAATTTTACAAATAAAAATTAAGAGAATAACATACTTTTTAGAATATATTTAAAAAATAAAAAATAATTAATAAAATATTTCTTAAATAAAACATTGTTACCTAATGCTGATTGATTTTTGAATTAGTTGATAATGTTAATAAAATTGACGGTTAAAAACTATAAATTCAAAAAAATTTATACATGCATTATTTTTTTCAATCAAATAAGTACTAAGGTAGAGAAATTCAAAAGTAAATTTCTTAAATGCTTCAAAGAGATTAATTCTCGTATGGATAAAATATGATGAATTCCAGCTTAGTCTTTTTAACCGTTCTACTGACGGTTGAGTTACATTGACGGCCAAGTCTTCTGGTTTGCTCGTGATTCTTGCATTTCAGGAGTAGCGTATCACCTCCAATTTGCAACAATCAATACTCATAAGACACTCTCAATCTCCTCTAGTCCTATGAAGTATTCTCAACCCAAACAAACACAAACCCAAACTCTTGTGCACCTTTTCAACATAACCAAACACATACCCATATGTTCTCATACATCATACCTATGTAGACCCTCTCAATCTCCTTTAGTCCACTCACAAACAAACATACACACCCATAAGACGTAGAGCCCCAATACTCCTATGGGGTGTCTATCCCACAAAACCCTACAACTCTCTTACATCTTTTTCTCATACCTAACCCTGTAGAGACTTCACCTATTTATAACCATACAAACTTGCCCATTAAGAATCCCTCTCTTCTTAGAATTCTTCTCCTGTAAGTCAAACTTGCCTATTAAGAATCCTTTTCCTTTTAGAATTCTTCTCTTGCAAGTCAAACTTACCTATTAAGAATCCTCTTTCTCTTGGAATTCTTCTTTTGCAAGTCTTCTTGTCCATCAAGCAATATCTGACAAATCTCAAACAAATCTCAAACAAATCTCTTATGGGATTTGAGTCAATATTCCTAACAATCTCCACCTTGACTCAAATTTCATCAATCATCTGTCTTCATGCTAGACATGCTTGGCTCCACCTGCAATGAAAGTCTCACAATCATCTTCTCTTCTCTTGTGTCTTCACGCTTCATACAAACCAATCATCAATCTCAAAACTTGAACTCGAACTCTTCTCTTGAATCGAGCTCCTCTAAGCTTACTTCTTCCCATGTCTCAAACTAAGCTCTTCCCCATATCTCGAACTGTCAACTCTTTCATGTCTCGAACCATCGGCTCTTCCCACATCTTGAATCTTCAACTCTTTTCACGTTTCGAACTTTCAGCTCTGATACCACTTGTTGGAGAACACCACAAGCTCTGATACCATTTTGTTGGCTAAAAGCCTCCAATCCAATCAACACCAGCGGAAGCAGAAATCAAACAATAAAGCAAACACATAAGAGACAACAATTAACGTGGTTCAGTCAATTGACCTACATCACGGATGAGAAAACAAGATCCACTAAGTTGTAGAGAATTACAAACATACATCAAATCATCAATCTCACTCAACCAATCAATACTCATAAGACATTCTCAATCTCCTCTAGTCCTATAGAGTATTCTTCAACTCGAACAAATACAAACCCAAACCCTTGTGCATCTTTCTTTAACATAACCAAATACATACCCATATGCTTCCATACATCATACCTATGTGGACCCTCTCAGTCTCCTCTAGTCCACTCACAAACAAACATACACACCCATAAGACGTAGAGCCCCAATACTCCTATGGGGTGTCTATCCCACAAAATCCTACAACTCTCTTACATCTTTTTCTCATACCTAACCCTGTAGAGACTTCACCTATTTATAACCATACAAACTTGCCCATTAAGAATCCCTCTCTTCTTAGAATTCTTCTCCTGTAAGTCAAACTTGCCTATTAAGAATCCTTTTCCTTTTAGAATTCTTCTCTTGCAAGTCAATTTACATTAGAACTTTTTAAGAATTTTTTTATATGGTTTAATCCCAAAGAAATATTCTAACTGCTGGGTGGCATCTTGCTTTACCTGGTTGAGAAGCAAAGTTATGGTTAAAAGTAGCAAATCAGATCAATTTTGATGAAAATATTCAGATGAAGTTTAAGATGTTTGAGTGCAATTCTTCTGTGTAGGCATTGTACAAAGTCATTCGTAGCTGGGATTCTAAAAAGTTTATGACAGGAATATAGTTAGCTCTTCTTCTCATTAAATGATTCTTTTTTCTTTTTTTTTTTTCAGTAGCTGATTTTGAAACATATGGTACAATTTGAGCATTGAGTCTAGCTTCATCCTAATCCAATATATGAAAAATGTTTTCCTTTTCCAAATTTTGTCTACAATCATGGATTAGATGCAATTTTGTAGTCAGATTCACCTTCTAATTACTGTAGGCAGGATAAATATCTATGTTGTCTTCCTATTAAGTCAAAAAGAGGGCAAATATATTTGATTCATATCTGTCATTTTTTACCTCCTAAAGTAATAACATTCTGCATCACTCGGTGGTTCATTCATTTAGTGGATGGATTCTTCTCCCCAATATTTACTTGGCCTCAAAACAATTAAGTGCAGCAATAACACCTAGTAAGGCCAAAGCATTTTCTAGTTTTCAGCATTTCAAATTCAAGGAAGTCGCTATCATTAGGCATCAGCGGATCGGAGAATATGCATTCGGCTTTATTACTTCAACAGTTATACTTCTTAGCAGTTCAGGTTCAGAGAAACTTAGCTGTGTTTACGGGCCCTCCAACCACCTCTATATTGGAGACAAACTCCTAGTAAGCTGAAAAGATATTATAAGGCCTAACCTCTCTGTTCGAGAAGGAATTGGTAAGATTTTGTTGCCAATATATCCAAAAACCAGAGGAACATGTATGTTTTGATGGGGCAGAGATGTAATCTTGTGTGTAATTTTCATCTGATGTAAAAATTGTCATCTCTGGTGGCATGTCCGTACCTCAGATATTGACCACATTGGTTGCACAAGCCATTGGTATAGCTGGACTATAAAATTTCAACAAACCACAAGTTAATGGTGGCTTCTAATGGCTATCCTTCTGGTGAATCTTCTAGTCGTTTTGCATGCTGAAGTGGTTCAACTTTTGGCTAGCTGAATAGATGAAGTTCGAGCATCGTCATGAACCATTTATGGTTGGTATTAGAGCCTAAAAAAAGGAGTACAGGTTGGAAATCAATACGCTTGAAAACTTGAATGTTGTTGAAAATGCAATAAGCCTTAGCTGGCATAGTGTGAAATTTGAACGAGACTGAGCCTTCAAAATTATTTGGTACTGTATTTTTCTCGCTAATGGTAACTTAGGCACCTTGCTTTATGTTAAATTGATGAAAATTAAACTTCATTTTAAGCTGATGTTTGTGTTTACCTTTTCATAATAAATTCAACCATGAAAAAAAAAAAACATTCTTTGTCAAAGCCAAAGTGAAGGGAGAGTTGATGTTATTGAAAAAAAAAAAAACCAAGCACACATTGATAATGTTTTATCACATAATAAAATCACAAATCCGTTGTCGTCCAGCGGTTTAGGATGTCTGGCTTTCACCCAGGAGACCCGGGTTCGATTCCCGGCAACGGAATATTTTTGTCCTCCTGAGGACGAGCCAGGGCATGTCGGTTTTATTTGAAAACATAAAAATTAGCACATGCCAATTTCCAGCGTAACAACTAAATAAAACTAAAAATAAGAAACTACATGAAAACAGCATCAGCCTTTAACAGATCCCTACACTGGAATTTACCTCAAAAGGACCATTTGCTTAGGTTTTGGATTGTTAAACAATTGATTAATCAATAATCAACGTTACCTATTTCTACTTTGTAGTTCTACCGATCATGCACACGGACATTTTCAAAATCAGCTCCCTCAGACATTCCAATTATCCGCAGTTGAATAGAAAAGAGAGCTTTTCCTTAGAGCTATTTTTCAGCTCAACCACAAAAATCAAAAGAGGTAAAATCGGCAGTCGGCATTGCTCTGCATCAACAATATGCACTGTTAACTGTTGAGTGTTGAAAGCATGCCTCCAGTACCAGTTGGCAGCACAACCTCCCAACCAGGACCTTTGAGGGGAACTGCATCAACAGTAGCATTGGCCTTCTCTCCATCACCAGAATCAGCAATGAGGTCGCTGCGATCCAGAATCCTCTCCAGATCCTGCTCACTGATATCTGTCTGAATCATCTTGTCCTCGGCAGTTTCTTCATCCCGAAGTAGTGCCAGTAGATCCTCTTCCTGAAATTTTTGCTCTCAAATCAGTCCACAATTTTAACTCACAAGGACAACAGATTCATGAAAAACCCAAGAACTGTAGTTAGAGAAATGATATGGATGACAAAACAAACCTCATAGAGGTCATTACTAGGTTTCCGTTCTTGATGAAACTGCCCTTTTCCAATCACCACATGCTCAAGCTTCAACTTACTATAAGCTCTTTTCAAAATGCGACACTGTCAACAAAACAATTTTTTAAAGTTTCTTCTCAATCTCAATGCCAGAAGAAAAACCTAACCATAGAAGTCCACATACGAGAAAAACAAGTGCTATACCTCTACGGATTGTGCTGTTGCAAGTCTGTAAACATGAACAGCTTTGGTTTGTCCAATCCGATGACATCTATCCATGGCTTGTAAATCCATTTGCGGGTTCTGCGATAGACAGGCAACATAATAAATTAGGTCTTAAATCCATTAACATATAGGACACTCTAGAACAAATAAACAAGGAATGAGAACTGGATACCCAATCACTATCATAGAGTATACAGGTATCAGCTGCAGTCAGGTTGATACCCAGGCCACCTGCCCTTGTGCTGAGAATAAATATCCTATATTCGCTGTTCACATCATTGAACTCCTGGATCTATTTGCACAAAAAAGTAGCTCGTTAATCAAAACAAGTAACAAGAAATGAAACTAATGGACTTCTTCAGGGACGCTTTTGGTTATTTTGTTCTTAATAAAAGACCAAAAACACAGATCAACCAATTTCTGTGCATAACCTGTATATAATGCTTTAACGTGGTTTCAATTTTAAGGTGATTTGAGAAAGAACTACAAAACAAATTAAAATGAATATACGGTATTCATCTACTTCACACGTACCTGTCTTCTCCTTTCTTCTAATTTCACACTACCATCAATCCTACAGACTTTTAATCCCTTTTCACTAAAATAGTAATCCATTATGTCCAGAACCTTAGTCCACTGGCTGAAGATGAGAACCTGTTAACAAAGGTCAGGGAGAATGAGTAGGCAGCTTTTAACTTATGTTAAGAAATGGGAAAACAATAGAAACCAAGAATGCTTATAACATACTTTGTGTTTGCGCTCAAATAACCGAGTCAGCAACCTGTCAAGCAATTGAAATTTTCCACACTGTTCAACGATCTGCTCTACAGGTGGATAGAAATCTGTCACAAACAAGAAAACAGTGTAAATGGAGCTGCCAAGCATTCTTTCGGAGCAAATTTTCAAGCATTTTCACAAGGGAGGTACATGATCCATCATAGGCAGACTCCAGGAGATCAGGATGGTTACAATTCTTCCTAAGCTGAATCATCAAATTGTTGAGCTTCCCTTTCATACCACGTCCTGCAATATTGCAAAGGTCAATTATCATACAAAACTCAACTGAAAAAAATGCAGAATGCTTATAATTAAGATTTTGAGTTTATCTATCAGTGGTGCAAGAAATGTTAAGATTGCAAAGGTCAATCATCAAATTCTTATATTACACTGCCGTTTCCTTGTTTTCTTCAAATCAAAATGTTAATAATGCTGCTTCTACAGTCAAAAGTCAAAATTCATCTTATACCTGTGTCAACCTTCTCTTGTAGATAGGCTTCCAAAGTTTTATTGAGCAAATGATCCTGGAAATTCCTTTGATACTCTGTCAAGGTAGCATATAATATGATCTCTTTTTTCCGTGGGAGCATATGCTCAACATCGGCCTTCATTCTTCGAAGAAGAAAGGGGCGCAATATAGCATGGAGTTTAGCTACCACCTGTAGGTAAAAAGACCACAAATTATAATTAATTTATAAATTGTTGTTTTGGGGGTGGAGGGAGGAAAACAGTCAGAAAGATGCATACTTGAGCTCTTCTCTTCTCTTCCATTTCTTCCTTTGATATTTCACCATTAATTTTTCCCGAAAAATCAAACCTAAATGTTTAAACCATGTCATAAATGAAATAGCAGAAAGACAAGGCAGCAAATCTCATCCAGCAAAAGAAAAAAAGCAAATAGATGAATTTTTCCCATCAAAGATTAAAAAATCTGAGAAATGAATCATAAGATGCTTTCCTGCAAATTTCAATGAACCTAAGAGGTCAACAGAGCATTTCCAATATGAAATAGTACTAAAGAACCAAGATTTTCATGATATGCACTCAGATTAACATTAAAAATCAATATAGTAAGCTAACCAACTATTTGTGGAAGAATAAGCCCATGGTTATTAATTTTACATGGCAGAATTACTAGAAGTGGAACCTTTACAATGTAAAGAGTAAGAAAATTTGTGAGTAACATATATTAAACTTGAGGGTTGACTAAGAAATGATTAAGCAACATACCATGACTCAAATTCGTCATGAGACTGAAAAATATCAGGCAAAATGAAATTCAACAATGACCATAGCTCCGCCAAATTGTTCTGCAGAGGTGTTCCAGTTAAGAGGAGCTTGTTGCCAACATGCAAGTGTTTTAACTCCTTCACTAGTTTGCAGTTGAAGTTTTTCAATCTGTGCCCCTATAAAAAAAAAAGTATAACAGTTAGAATGCATAATTTGCCCATCCACAAGTTTCAAGCTTTCACATATATGGAAGAAAAGCCAGAAGAGTTAGCCAGGCTATAGACTATCCAGGGCAAAATACCAACCTCATCAACCACAACATATTTCCACTCATAATGCCTCAAACATTTCCTTGCATCACTCATTGCCATCTCATAAGAAGTAACAACTATTGGAAACCTGGGGCCAATTCCTTTAGGCATGTGCTTCCGACAAATCTCATCCCTTTCCTTCTTGCTTCCATGATAAATAATTGCATCCATTGAGGGCACAAACCTATTTAAAAATAAAAGAGAGGGAGGGAAGAATTAAAAGATGAAATTTGATTTTATGCATGTTTACATGAAATCCAATGAATGATTTTTTTACCTTGCAATCTCATTTATCCAATTAGAAAGAGTAGAGAGAGGAGCAATAATCAAATAGGGTCCATCCATCCCATTTCCTTTCAAATGTGCAAGAAAAGCAATAGTTTGAATTGTCTTTCCAAGACCCATCTGATCAGCAAGGATCCCATTCAGCCCATTCTGCCATAAGGAGATCAACCACTTCAGACCTTTGAGCTGGTAAGACTTCAATTTTCCACCAGTCAACAATGGTACAAGTTCTCTCTGCTCTTTCTCAATTTTTTCTTCCTCAGTCAGGTTTGCATCTTCAGTTTTCTCAGCCTCTCTCTCTTTAGATCTTGTAAGCATCGCTGCAACTGCCCTCTTGGCCTTCCTCTGGAAGAAAGAAATTACAGAATAGGAGTGGCTTAATACAATCCAAGGTTTCCAATTAAATTGCAAGGATCTCAAGGCTATCAATGAATCACAAACATACACATTACATACTAAAAATGTTCTGGGAAAAGCTATTATCATACAAAAATTATTGAGTTAAATTAAACTGTTATACAGGAAAGAGGAGCACTGCACAATTTGCAACTTGCACAGGACATGCCAAGCAATAACCGAAGAAGAAATTAAGCATACTAAATATCAAATCAAAATGCAACAGATATAGTACCTACCAAGTAAGAAAATAAACTAAATAAATTCTGTGCAAATGGTCTATATTACAGCACATTTATAATACGTTGAAGGCATTCCAGATTGACAGGGTAAATAAAGCAGAAAGAATACATTGTTGTACTGGTTAGCAGCTCTTCTTTTTGAACCTCGACCTCTCTTTGTCTGAGCAGCTTCAGGCTCGGGTACATTCTACCAATATTATAACAGATAATCAGAAAAAAGTAAAACCAATTCAAAGTGTAAAAATATATGTGAAAGAAAGATGAGTGGGAATACAAATGTGATGTCCTCCATCTTTTCAAGCAAAAACTCTGAGTACATCTGGGTTTGGGTTAAAAGCTCATCCAATCTAGTAAACTGAGTGTCATTCAAGTGCACTGCCTGTTCAGGCTCCTCTAGTTTTGTCTCCTCTTTCAACCGAGCATCCATTAGCTTTTCTTCCTCCTTGACCATAGCCTCTGATAAAAGAGAGGTATCTCCATTTTTGGCATCTAGAACTGTTTCCTCCTCCAACTTGATGATTTCCTCTTCGCACTTCTCCTTCATTTTTGTAAGAATAACAACATTATATAAACAACAAAAAGAAACACGTATCATAAATGTTTTAACATCAACCTGAATGAATCTAGCATGTACAACATGCTAAACTTAAACAAATATAACTTGGATCTAAAATAAACTCCACGCTTATGTCAACGCATAAACAGGTTTGCTTACCAAATCCTAATATTTACAATCATCACCAGCATTAGTTTCATTTCATTTTCCTTAGATTCCCAGCTTTTATTTCTTTGGTTAAATTTGTTGAACACAAGTGCATAAAACTGAAACATTTAGCGGTTTAGAAAATGAAAAAAAAAATTGTAACTATAAAACCTCCAAACCTCATTGTAATAGAAAAATTAAGATATCAAATCAGCGGAGGTATAGCACTATAGCTTGCATGTATCATATACATAAATAGAAAAGAGCAAAAAAAGGAGAAAAAGAGTGAAGCACACTTTCCTTTCCTCCCTCACTTTTTAAGTTTCCAAACAAAACAAATTTACCTTTCATTTTCCTTCATTATCTCATGAACCAAACAGAATCAGTGACAATAACATTAAAACCTTTAAAACCTTAGAGGAGAAAAAGAAAGGGATAAAGTATAACGAAACAAACCTCGTCTTCAAGAACTGAAGTCGGTGATTCAGCGGAAGCGTCATTTTCCTTTCCATTCTCGGCCCCCATTTTCATACCCTAAAAGTCTTTACACCAAAAACTGAATAACACAAAGAAAAATCAAATTCTAAGAGGTTAAACAGATGAAATAAAGCTTTAGTTTCATCCCAAATACAGAAACCGCCCTAGGGTTTTCGATCATTGAACGGAAAGTAAAGCAATTCGAATAAGCAAAAGCACGAAACGTACAATAATGAACATGACATACAGTGAAAGAGCTTCAACTTCCAGCGAGAAACGGGAAAGAATCGGAACCGTCGAAAAGGAGAACAGAGCAAAGCAAAGCAAAGTAAAGTAGAGAAGAGAAAATTAGCCTGAAATTTTTATCACACGAGTGGAGCACTTAAAGTAAACATTGAAATTTTATTATTTATTCATTTATTTATTTTCTAATTGACTCTGTGGGTGGTTTGGGCGGGAAAATAAAGAGTTGGCAAATTCCCCTAAATTGTGCAATACATAACATTGGATAAAAATCGTTTCACGATTCTTTGTGGGGGTATATTAGTAAATTCACAATTCTTCTGGGCCTAGAATATGTGGCCTTCGCAGGTAGGTTATGGGTTCCCAAATTTGGGGCATGCCTTGTCCCTTCCACTATAATTTTCTTATTTTTCTTTTTGGGAATTTCGAGGAACGGTGTGGGATTTTCAACTTTTAAATGATTTGATTTTTTTTTTTCGTTTTACTATGGTAATAATTTGGTTGATTAATTTAAAAGCTTAAATTAAATAATTTGATTGGATTGGTTTAACTTAACGGTTTAACTTAGATTGTTGAATTATACTAAAGTACCAGTAGTTGATTATATGTAAAGCATGCATAGTAATTTTATTTTTTGCTATAATTAAAACTTAAAATCAAAATCTTTGATTTTAATATTAATTGAAACTCATAATTTTCATATTATTGAGCAATAGTTTTTTGGTAATACAAAATTTTATTAACTACCAAATTTTGGAATTCAAATATACTAAATGCCAAGATTAAAACTTTTTGTCATGAGATTACCCATTAACAATCAATCAAACAGATTTGTTCTCGAATTTATAGGACTAAATTAACAGTGTTTAGAAAACATTTTTATGGCAATGATAAAATTTTGAAAAGAAAAAAACGTGTTGAGGATTGAGAATAGGATCCTCGAGAAAAAACTTTTCTGCAATTGAAGCCAAAAATTTAAGATTGGATGCAACCATGAAACCAAAAGCCAGTGCATTATAAATATAGTATTTAAAGCCCGCACATCTTATGTTATTTAGCCAAAAGGTTTTCTTACATAATTGTCAAATAAAATGTGGTAAACACAATTTCTGGCAGGCTCAGCAGGAGAAGTTTGTGCGTACACGAGACAAGAAATCAACGTCCACCAACATATATATATAAACACAAATCTTATAGTGAAAATAATTGATAAAATAGTTGAGTGTGAAGTACTGAAAGTTCAATGCAGTGTGGAAGCAGTTGCTCTCTGCTGAGAAATTCCACCTGTAATAGGGCAAAAAAAGGGACTCAAGACAGCTTGCAAAGGTTTTCAAATCCCATATACTCTTCATTTGCCAGCTTTTCGACCATATCAGCAATGCCAACTCCACCTGCAACATTCAGGAAAATGTGGTCAGGTTCTTACCATTTTCAAAGGTTCAAATTTAAGTGACTTGCTTTGCAAGATAACTTGTAAGACTGAGAGGAAGCCAGAAAGCGTTGTACCTAAACTGATTGCGCTGATAAAGATTGTCAAAGCTAGTATGAAGATGATTATCGATGCTCTTCCCACGACGGCAATAATCTTTCTGACTACATGTTGGCCGGTGAAGGCAGCAATTGTTGCTACTAGAACAAAATAAGCAGCTGCAGGGGAAAAAATGTAACATTGAAACAGTAAGGCTGATGAAGTTAGTGGTCAAAGTTTAGATGTTTTTGTGATCGTGATTGTAAATTTTTACTGTCATTTCCACTCACCATATGGGACTGGGAAACGATTGAGAAGATAATATTGCACAACTGACATCGAGGACGAAAATGTCATAGCAAATGTTGATGTGGCACTAGCTACCTGCACATGCATACAAGTATTGTCATAACTCGGTTATGTGTGCTGCCATTTTATATGTTTTGACATGCAAAACATGGATCAGAGCTTGATCATGTATCTTTTCTCAGCTTCTTCTGTACTCATGCTTAGATTTTGGCAAATTGAGTTGGTACTGAGAATTTTCTCTTAATTCTAACCTACAGTCTGCCTCTCAATGATGGATTATGAGGTTCTCAACAATGGTCTTCAAGGATGGGGTGCTTGAAAATATACTATTGTTTTGACTGATCCTCAGAATCACTAGCTGAATCTCTTTGAAGAGGAATTTCTGACTGAAAAAATTTGGACCACGGTAAATTTGCCTGATAATACACTGTACCTTAGTGTGTTTAATAATTACTTGGTATAAATCCATTCCCCCACGTTGGGTTCATGATTTACATTAAATTATACTAGTTAAGCACACCTGAGGAGGAATTCCTATTTCAAGGAATAGAGGACCCAAGATGAAGCCACCTCCCAGTCCTAGCAGCCCACCAACCATACCAGCTATAATGCCACAGGAGCAGTAAAGAAGAATCTGATATATCTTCCAATTTGTGACTTCCTTTCCTTTGGATGCAATCACCCTGGTTCCTTTATACAGGCATGTGGCTTCAAAAAGTGTCACGGAGGCAGCAATGGGTATCTATTTATAAAAAAAACAAAGAGCAACAATTGAGTTGAACAGATTTTTGCCCCAAGAAACTCTAAATTCTCTGATTTGTAAACTATTGCTCCTCATGCTCTATTCCAAGGCACTCAGATTTTATCTCCATTTTGTAAGATTAAGGCTGAGGCACGATGAATTAAATGACTGTAACAAGCTCTTTGCATTCAGAACAAGTTTTTATCTAGAATTTCAATTTTCTACCTGCAAGGAGTTCACTATCCAATACATGATTGAGCAAGTTGGAAGATATTCCTGCATAAGCAAACATGTGGATGACATTTAGCAAAGACAAGAATAACTTCATTTGGAGAATTCTAAAATAAAGACGGGTGCTTTTGCAAACTCATTGATGATAGTGGACTACAAAAAAGATATAAGATCGCCGGGACCTTCAAAAGAACTGGCCTATACTAATTGTGCTTGTGATGTTACGGACAATATTAGCATACCTTAATAATCTGAACAATGAGAAAACCAATCCATACATACACAAGCAACGATAACTCTTTCCCGTATATGTTTTGTAGTAGAGGTACCTGAATTGAATATAACCATAATGGCTAATTATAACAAAGATAAGAATAACATTGTGATAAGCAAAGAGTATTGTTGTAAGAAAACCGAAATGTCCTTGAACTTACTTCATCATCTGGCAGGACTCCTGGGCCACTAGGTAGCGGTTTATAGTCTTGTGCTCCTCCATCTGCAATTCTCGAGTTTAGCACAATCCATTTGCAATATTTCAATTGACATAATGTTCTTTCATCAGTAGACCTCATGTACTGTATCTTGAAATTTTTTGCTTTCACATATTATTCGTCTTACAAACTGTCATTGAATCTGAAACCATATCTTATTGCTTATTTGACCTTTGAACTGATAATATGTGATCGAAAACAATAAATGGGAAATTCGCCTGCTAAGCCTAAAGTTTAACTGCTGACAAACTGCTTATATTTGGTTTTAAGTGATTGGATTTTTTCACAGATGGATTTGCAATTGACTTGTCTCTGATACTCAGATTCCAATCTAAGCGACACCTAAATGAGGTCATGTAGTTTACTTTGTTTTCAATATGATCTATTGAGGGGCAGCCCATTTCCTTCCCTTTCATCTTCTCCGACGGCATCTTAAGTTTGTATAGCAATCATTTCCTTTTAACGTCAAATTTTCATTTGAAAATACTGTGAAAGAAAAGCTATTTCTATAGATAAGTTTTACTTGGATGGGGATCATTAGGCACTCACCAGCTGGTTTGGACTCCTCTGCTTCCGACTTGGCTGCTTCCTGAAGATAGAATCTCAAAATCCTCATTAATAATCTTATACCAAAGCGAAGTAATCCATGGAAAACTTAAGAGAAACCAAGTGGAAAATTCTACCTTTTGCATCAGTGTCTCTTTCTTCCATGTATCTATACCTTTGAATACGGCTTTAGTTGATGTACCTGGCATTCATAAATTTATGCTTCTATCTCAGAGAAAACTATGTTACATAGATCACGAACTCATGATAGAAAAGAAATAGTATCTTCCTAGCAGGAATGTTCTATTCCTGGTTTGGGTGGCCTAAGATTTGAACCTGAATCCTGCCTAAACTGTTTACTTTGTGAAAGCCCTGCTGGATAACCACCTTCTTTTAATTTGAATAAAGAAAACTAAACTCCTTTAAGGGGATGACACAAAGAAAAATGGAAATGCTTTGAATGATTCCATTTATTCGAAAGCATGTTAATGCCATACCCTTGGGTTATCATTATTGATCCTTAACTAGACGATGAAAGCTAATTTTTGAGTTTGTGCGAGGGGTAGAAGAGAACAACAATGGATATGAATTAGAATTCCCTAAATTGTGTTATTCTTATTACCAATGAAGAGGATGATAAGCAGAACTGTGACCATCCAATCAGCAAACATGACATTTAGGGCAACTCCAATGCTGATTCCAAGCATAAGCATGGGCTGGAAGAGCAATGCCAAGTCATAATCTATGAGGGGCATTTCCAGTGTTGGGTGCCTAAGTCTCAGGTTATAATATACTGTTGATCCAGCTGCACCCATGATCATACCTGCAACCAGAAAAATCTTTGTTATCTGTACATATGATTAGTACAGACTATACTAAATATTAGGAGGATTCTGCAAAATCGTATAAGCCTAAATGCATCAAGCTTACGATGTTAATTATGCTATGGTCATGCTTGCTGCAGACATACTATTAATAAGCATGTGTACACATTTATATATTAGTACATGCATGTATGCATATAAGTATCTATGGCATGAGTAGAAACATATTTCTTGAAAACAAAATAAAGACATGCTTTCTAGCATGCAAGGTTGATGCATAAAGGTTAAATTACAGGAATAAAACAGGCTTATGTTTAAACAAAGCAGAAACTCACACTTGGAAATGGCAGTGGAAGATTTGGGGTCGAAACCTATTATGAGAGCGAGCATTGGAACAAAAATTCCACCACCTCCAACCCCTCCAACGCTACCCAACGCTGCACCAAGGAATCCAACAATTGTTCCTACAACTATTTTCCAACCAAACTCTATCTCCTGCTCAATCAAAAATTAAATTCAATATCAACGTATACAAACTTGAAAAGATTAATGACACGAACAGACTGAAAAATCATCGTCAGCTGTTGCATAAGAATGCATTGATTGGAAAAGGTTCAAAGGTTTTCCCTCTTCTTGATGTACAACAAGCAGAAAAAACTGGCTAACACCTAACTCACCGGCCAGACAGGTTCATAGGAAGACTTCCCACCTTGCCAGAGGAAGTTGACAACTCTAACAAGAAATCCTTGTGTTTTTTCTAGCTCTTTGGAAACTTCTTGATTCCTTTTGTCTTTCAATAATCTCTCTGCAATCCCCACATTGCTCATCACGACAAGAACCAGAAAGACTATCCATGCCATTATTGCCAAGCCTCTTCTGTTCACCTGAATTCGAGCCATTTTGGCCACCGCCCTGAATTGTTAGCAAAGAGGGAGAGAATCTATGAATTAGCAATTCAAATGAAAAACTTTTCCTGGCTTTAAGTTTACTCAATTCTCTTCTTATTCCTCTCTCCCATGAATACAGTAGCATACAAAATGGAAGAAAAAGTAGAAACTATGAAAGAAATAATAAGTTCACTCCATTGGCACCTTCCCTAGTGTCTACATTTATAAATCTCCTCTCTTTCTACTTCCCTATTGTACGCTCGACCGCGTGGCCCAATTGACAGTTTTTTTTTTTTTGTAAATAATTTTTTTAACTCCTACTTTTCCATGAAAAAAACCAAGAAAAAAAAATTCATTTATTTCAGATACTAATGATTCTTTGTATTTATATTCTGTTTTAGAATAAACTGATGTCCCCTCTGGAATCTGTACTACAGTTACTATTCAATGCCGTTGTAAAGTTTTTAACCATTTCATCTCTTTGGAAGTTTCCAAACTTTGAACCTTGAGTTAATTATGGATTCCTTTACAACCCACCAATAACAATTTTAAAACTTTAATTTTCAGAAAAGAACAGCATTCAGTTTTCCTAAATGTCTTGAACTTTCGAGGAAGCCAATAAAATTCTTTAGTAAACAAAATTTACATGATGGGGTTTCAGATAATCTCATTCCCTATTATTTTGCTAAAAAGTTCTGCCATATTTGACCTGATAAAATCCAATGAAGTTAGAATAAAGAATTAGAGTGTCACTGCAATGAAATTTGCATGGGCAACTGAGAGCCTAGACTTCACTCTTTATTGGTTTTTTTTTTTTAGCAATTATCTCACTCCTCTGATCAAATTTCTTGGGCTGCATTTGGATAAGACTGGGATCCCGCGTCATTGTGTTTACCAATTTTTTTTTTTAATGTAATTGTATCGCAATCAGTTGTTTGAATGTCATATTATCAATATGATTTAACAAAAAAAAAAAAAAATCTATTGTGCCTCAATATTTTCGGTGGAAGGGAAGGAAAGGGTCTGATGAGAGTTTTAATTCTCGCTGGAGCCCCATTTTCGATAAAAAAAACCTGCTTAAATTTTTTTTTTTTTAACTTTTGAAACTATAGTGTATTCGATTTTTTTTTATTTTGTTCGTTCTTTAATTTTTTTAAAATTTTATTTTGAATTAAAAATAGTTATTATTTTGATATAAAAATAATGCTATTAAATTTTAATTATTTATTAATTTTATAAGCACTAAATATATTATAAATTTTATTATATTTATATTTTAATCTAATATTTATAATGATAAATTTTTTATTATATTTAATTTTATTATCACCATTATATTTATCTCTAAATATATATTATATAATTAATTTAATTTTATTATTATAATAATTAATCTCATTATCATCGTTATTTTAATTTTAACATAAGTAATCTAATTAACCCTCCAAATACTCTTGGTTCGCTGTTGCTAAAACAAGTTGTCGCCACTTTTAGGTCCTTTGGCAGCGTGGTGAGAGGCATTCCCTCCTCCCGCCGCACTATAATTAGTTTTTATGTCATTACTCGTAAAACGATACTACACTGTTAATGGGAGCCTTCATTCTCCATTATTTTTTAAATCTAGGTTAATCCAAATCAGATTCTGTCGGTACTAAGTTTACGCGGCAAGGGAAGCTTCATAGCTGCTTCCAAATTTATTGGATTACAAAATTTTTTCCATTGATTGAAAAGAAAAAAAAAATCTTTCCCAAATGATTATTTTAGATAACTAGTTACTCAAACTATGTTCCTCCATCCCAATTTTATGTTGTTTTAAAATTTTTCTCTTATGTTTTGCTTCCAAAATTATTTAAGGTAACTAATTATGAGTTAAAGAAATCCCACAAGTTGGCCTTTCAAAAAAAGTGACAATAAGTGAACAAATGAACAAACTTCCTTTCTTAACATCTATTGCCTATAAATGGCTGAAAATGTGAAAAAGTGTTTTGTTTCTACTACTGAACTGAGGCAAGCAAATGATGAAAAGCTGAAAAGGAAGAGCGAAGGCAAGGCAAAATCAGATTTGGAGGAAACTTCCCAGAAGCAGCATATCACGTTTTCAGACATTTTAGTACGAAACAACAAGCAATAATAGCTTCTTCAAGTTATAGTAAAAGGGACTTAGCCCTCAGTCATAGGCTTCAGGTACTGCTTATTTACTTCAAACCGATGAAGCTTCATAGTTGCTTCAATCCATCTTGGCTTCTTCTTGTAAATATTTTATCCTACTTACTTCAAACAAATCCACTCAAACATTCCCTTCTTTGGTTCTATTAATCCATGTCTTTTGCTGGTTTTCGAACTTTGTGACTTCCTTGTGGTCAAGAAAGCTACATTTAATTATATAATAAATCCAACACATTAATTATTTCTCTAAACTAAAGAAGTATGAAATGATTATGAAGTCATAAGATTGAATTGGGTAAAAAAACAGTTATCAGATAAATATATCATCTATTGATAAAAAAATTGAACTATTAGTTTAGATTCTATTAGACAATGTCCAATACCCAAAGAACATACACTAATTTCTGTGCTTGATGCAGAACCCTAAAAGTTACATCATGAGCCCAATTAACAGGAAATGTGAGCTCTAATAAGCCCAAAATCACCTCTGCAACAAGGGTAGAAACCCATTGAAAAGCCCTAAGTTACAAAACGTTTTGTCTGAACTGTGGGAATTTTTCAAGCACGAGCACCTCTCTTGTTCTATTAATCGAAAGAGCGAGCTTCCGCAGAGAACTGAAAAATGTCTCCGGACACATTTTCCTTAAATGAAAGCTTTCGTGGCGCGAAAGTTTGGCATCAAATCTTAAACCCAAACCAGTTTTCAATCTATTGTATATAAACAAAATTCTTAAATCCCAACCCTGGCTAAACTCTGTTCAACAACATCTCCAAGCTCCTGTTATGGTCCAAGAGAACCTTTCAGAGAGTCTTCAGAGAGTCGTTGCTCAAGTACCTCAAAGCCATCTCAGAATCAAGAAGCTGTTGGAGAAAGCCATGTTGCCTCAAGAGCCTCTCCTCTGTCTGCCGCTATTATCTTTATAGGTAATAGTTGTGGTAACTTTTAACCATCATTCAATTTTCAAACACTACCAAATTCAATGTCGTCGAATTTAGCAGTGCGGCAGGAATTACGGTTCCAGCGAGAGCGAAAGCTTTGGTCTCATCTGATTTAAGCACTGGGGTACTAGAAGAAACATATGGTCGTATAAGTAAATCACGTAACCCTTTCTTCAATTTACGAATATCGTCAGATTTTTATTTTCTAAACAAATTATAAAATTGAATCGCCAAGATTTTGGTTGGTATTGGAATTCGATAGATGTTGGCGCAGGGGTGATCGATGCTGATTACAGAGGACCTGTTGGGGTGATTCTGTTTAATCGTTCCAATGTTGATTTCCAGGTGAAGCATGGCGATAGAATTGCCCAATTGATAATTAAAAAGGTTATGATTCCTGGTATTTTGGAAGTTGAGGACTTTGGATTCTACTCAGAGTAACTGGGGTATTTGGGTCCACGGGGATTTGATCATTTCCCTGATTTTCTTTGTAGATGGATTAGTCTTGAATTTTGTCTAGTACCATGGAAGATGGTTACGATGACAAGTCACAGCTAGTTTTATGCTCTAGGATCGTTAGAGGTTATATGATTGCATTTTAAACCTATTGGCTAGGCTTTCATTAATCCAAAATTTCACAATTTCACTAGAACTAATAGCCATTTAAACAAAAAAAAAGAAAAAGAAACAGAAGACATGTTATAGTGGTTGCTAACCTGGTAAAATCTTTAGGCTTATGCAGCACCAGAAATAAGCAAAGCTAATAACTTCAATTATGGAAAGCTACCTTCAAATCAAAGAACCAGCAAGAACGACAATAATACAATATCAATTATTTAACCCATTTCAAGAATCTCATCCTAAATGGGAGCAAACACAAGACGTCAGTAGCATAAAGCTTTAGACCACACAACAAATCTTAAGAAAATTAAAAGTGAAAATAAACTAAAGCAGAGATGCCACACCGATACTGGCAGAGTTCCAACTGAAAGCAAACACTCCTTGACTCCGGAATTAACCACATCAGAGGCATATTGAAAACAGTTTCCTTGAAATATAAACTAAACCAGGGAAAGCATATTGGGAAAAAAGCAGCTTATATTCAAGTAAAGTGACCGCACTGACACTGATCTTTCCAGAACTTGATTTCTCTCTTATGATCATAATTCACCTATAACCATCTTCTTCCATCCCATCACAACAATCATGGTCACGGTCGGCATATTGATCATAACGATCACAGTCACCATGGGCATTCAAATCATATTCTCCTCGACCTCGATGATGCTCATAGTGTTCATAGCGTTGGTCATCTAGGTCTGAACGGCTATGCCCATGATCATGATGTTCATACCACCCATGATCCTCATCTGGCTCATCATGATCATAATCCCTCTCACTATGCCGGTCTCGTTCATGTTTGGACTCAACACAGTCATAATCAGATTCTCTATCCCTAGACCTCCCATGGTCACGGTCATAGTCACCAACATCATAATCCCTGTCCCTATCCCTCTCACGAGCTCTCTCTATCACATTCATAATCACGACCACGATGCCGACCTCGATCACAGTCACTTGCTTGATCGCGATCACTACCATGGTCCCTCTCTCTATCCCTATCTCTGCCTCTGTCTCTAGTTCTTTCACGATCTCTGCGGTGTCTATCCTCTCTATCATGATCCCTTGGTCTGTCATGGGAGCGCTCACAAGACTTTTCTGGCTCCCTCTCCCGTTCTCTTCCTCTTTCACGAGATTTTTCCCTGTCCCTAAGATTTCAAAGATCAATCAGATAATTATAGTAACATATTGCGGTGACACCATGGCAAAAGCCTAAAAATCGGTTCTAATCATAGATTTCCCGGCAAAAGTAAAGGTGGGATGAATAATTCTGACATTTCTGCTGAACACCCAGTACACCTTTTAGATTTTCACCAGATACTGTAAAAACAAAAATTGATGGAACAACTCAGCTAATCTTACCGGTCACCATGTCGATCCTCTCGAATCTTTGGCTCTCAGAACGATATGGTCCAGATTGCAGTTGCTCCCTGAGTGGCAAAAGAAGATAGCATTTAACTTCCAGGCAATAACAAATCAAACTGAGCCTCACATA